AAAGGGAAGATGCCGGGCGAGCGCTCCCAACCACCGGCCGGGCGGCATCACTGACCTGCCGACAAGCGCAATCGAAGCGCGGGAAATCTATAGTGTTCAAATTTCTGGCTAAATTCAAGATCTGACACGGCATGATGTTGAAATTTCAACACCTTATTCTTCACGTTTTCTCATTTTGGTTAAACGCTTGCATCATGCTCTTATCCTACAATCATTCTTTTTCTTATCTCACTTTCTTCAATCTACTTTTTCAGTTTGAGTTGCGAAACTCACTGACATGGACAACCTGCACCGACACGCCTCCGGCGCCGGGAGGATAAGCTACATTCAGCAATGTCAAAGATACGGATGTAAGTATTTTCAACATTTGATCGCTGCTGATTTCATTGTTACTTTACTTTTTATCGTCATTTTTCTTTTCAGCTTTCTTTCTTTCAGCTAATAAGCTGGATATGCTAGAGCTTATCTGTCCTACAGTTTGTTGAGTTTCCCAAGATTTCTTTTGTTGTTTTTCGTAGTTTTGTTTATATAACAGATTTCGCTGTCGTTGCACCTTTTACCACTGTCGCCTGCCGTGACACCTTTTCTGCTCTCAAATGATGAAGACTCATAGTGAGCCAGCTTCTCAAGGTATATAGGAGCAACTTCTCATAGTTCGCGGATTGTCTTCGACAAAAAAATTTACACCTCTGCGATTTCCTGGAAAAGGCCGTCGCAGAGCAAACATGACGTCATTTTTATGGCCGAAAACGATGGCGGCATCGAAATCAAATCCTTTGCATCGATAATTTTCTTTCTGTATGATAGGAGAAGTCGCAGAGCTCGTAGAAGTCGCAGAGGTCGTGTGGTTTTGGAAGAATATAACTTTAGCAGTCCTTTCGAAAATCTTGAATACAACCTTTCCTTGGATGTAACTCCTCTTCGCGAAATTGGACTTGCTTTGATGCAATTAGAAAAAGAAAACAATGATTTTATTATGAGGTAGTTTCTAGAGGTATCAAAATTCTTTCAGCGAATCTTATAAAATGCGCTTGTACATCATTTAACTTTGAGTCGTCTCAACATGTACCCAAGCTTTGATAATCATTCATGAGTTAAGAAGTCGTTGAAAGAACAATCACTTTCAAAAATCGTATTCAGTCATATGTATGTGTGCATACGATGTACCTCTGGAATTTCGCCTGCAAGTTTCTTAGGATTGCAGGCCTACAACACTGCTTTTAGCGCTTTTATTATTGTAACACAGCTATGAGAAGAACGCCACATGTGCACTATGCTAGTCAAAGCCTGTAAGAGATGCTCGTTCAAACGGGTTATGCCGGTGCACAAAGCTCAGCCGTAAGTTGCTAAACTGAGTTTGGCTTCACGTTCAGTGTTTGATTTTAGGCAACAACGAACTTTCACTGACATGGTTAGATCTGAAGAGACCAGCATTCCACACCTAGTCAAGATCGATGATGAAGATGAACTTTATGAGGAGATATTACACATGGTTAATGATGTTCACGGATTATTATCAGTGACAATCACCTATACTCTCAATTTACAGATCTCTCTCACGGCCACGCTGAGCTGAGAATGGAAAGTGCTACGGAGGAAGTGAATTTGTACCAATGCGTGTGTAACGGTGAATTAGATCTGAACA